AAACTCGGGAGCTTCATTTGTAAGTGTGATTCCTGAACCACTTATCTATGAGAAAATTGCATTGTGAGAGGAAAAATGCACCAATCACCTGAAATACACACTTTCTTAATGTGAATCCATTTCCCTAACAACAGTTGCCAAAACTAATTATTCCTGAAGTAAACAGACAAAGAAATGGAAACGCCATCTGAAAATGGATTTTCAGAAGGCATTTGATGTGGTCCCTCACCAAAGGTTGCTGAGAAAATTCTACAGTCAGGGGATAAGAGGGCAGGTCCTCTTAGGGATTGAGAATTGGTTGAGAACCAGGAAACAGAGAGTAGGTGTCAATGGGCAATTTTCACAATGGAGAGAGGTGAACAGTGATGTGCCCCAGGGTCTTGGGATTGGTGCTTTTCAACCTGTTCATAAATGACCTGGAGGCAGGGATAAGCAGTGGGGCGACCAAGTTTGCAGACGACATGAAACTTTTCTGGGTGGTGAGGACCAAAAGGGATTGCAAATAGCTCCAGGAGGATCTCTCCAAACTGGGAGAATGGGTGGCAAAATGGCAACTGCATTTCAATATAAGAAAATGTAAAAGTAATGCACATTGGGGCAAAAAAAATATCTAAACTTTAGTTATCAGTTAATGGGGTCTGAGCTGTCCATGACAGATCAGGAAAGAGATCTTGGTGTGCTGGTGGATAGCTCAATGAAAGTGTCAGCCCAGTGTGCGGCGGCAGTGAAGAAGGCCAATTCCATGCTAGGTATCGTTCAAAAGGGGATTGAAAATAAAACAGACAACATTATAATGCCATTGTACAGAATGATGGTAAGGCTGCACCTGGAGTATTGCATAGAGTTCTGGTCGCTGCACCTCAAAAAGGACATGGTGGAACTGGAAAAGGTGCAGAAAAGAACAACTAAACTGATGACTGGGCTTGGGTTCTGCCCTTATGAGGAAAAGCTACAGCATTTGGAGCTCTTTAGTCAAGAGAAAAGGTGCCTGGTGGGGCATTCTTACGTTAGCAAAGCACATTAAGAAGTGCAATGACTTCAGGGGGAAATCTCAAGAAGCAATACAGGAGGCTTCCACACTGCAAATATTTTCCTCAGACTACCACTCTGTTCTCTCAAAACCTAGGCCCAGTCACTTGACATGCTTGCTAGCACTTGGTGGCTTTTAGGGCATATTACAAGGTAAATACAGAAGAACATATGTAATAATACGGTTTGCTTTTGATATGAAGACGCCTCCCAGAGTTGTTGTTTTTAAACAACAACAAAAAATTACTTTGCTTTCATCTACAAAGAACATACATCCCCTAACCAACTTGTTTTATTTGAAAAGACAGTTTGGAGTAGGCTTCTGATTTGATCCACTGTCTAACGTATCCCATTCCATGTGATCTTCTTTGAAGTTTGGTATAAGTTTCAAAGCCTTTGGCACTTTCATTCTCAGGAATGACAACAAGCTACATTGCTACCTGACATCCAAATACACCGATACATCTCAGAATACATGCAGAAGAATAAACTGTGCTGCTTTTCTTCTCTCCCCCTGCCGTACAGTCTGAGGAGGGAAATTGGTTTTCTTCATTGAAAAGGGCACAATAACCCATCAATCTGCATATGTGCATACACATCATTAAGCTGTACATTTTCACATGTTCACATATTTTAAGGCGCATGGATTAACTTTGTGCTGTCCCAGACCTTTCCTTCCTTTACTTGGAAAACATGCAACAAGTCTGCTTTTGGACTCTGCTAGAAAATTATATCCAACTTTGTTAATTAAGCAGTTACACTGCTCTCTGTTACATATGTCGAGCCTGCTTCTCTTGATAACAGAGGCAAATCTTTACAGATTAGGTCTTCTGAAATTTACTGTCCTGCTCAAGAAGTACATTTGTTAAGCAGTGACCTAAAAAAGGATCCTTTAATCTTTGTGACCTCTGTATATCTATAAAGGGCAGATGGTAGTCCCTGGCACATCCCCAGGGGTCTCTGACCTTTTTAAGCCCATGGTCTCATTTGGAAATTTTAGGGAATTAATTACTTAGTTTATTTATGTTTGCCTGCAAAATGTTGTACAAATTCTTCACAGCAAGCTACAGTGTGATCTGGATTCTTTTCCTTTGGGCTGTGATGTAATAGGCCCTTGATCACTCAAAAGAGCTTCTCAAATTTATGTCCCACTTGTTTCATTGCCACGAGCTCCCTGCAAACCCAGGCAGCCAGTTTGGGTCTACTTTGTGGGAGGACATTAGGAGCAGTCCCGTCAATGGCTTTTGCCATTTCCCCATTCCAGAGATCAACCAGGGATTCAACAGAATCAGCTGTCAATGTTTGTATCTGTCTGGCATTTGTAAACCTGTAGATAACTCAAAAGAGTTCTGACTGTTGTTTGGAGTCCTTGTTAGTCAATTTGGTGTTACAGTTCCTTTTTGTCATCTTAAATAAATTACAATACTTGCTGGATATCTCCTTGACTGCAGCCAAGTTGCATTCTGAAGGAGCTTTCCTCTGTCTGCTCTCTAGCCATCTTCTTAATTGCTCCATTGCCCTCAACTCTCTCACAAACTATGGTGAGGGTTAGGCTGTGCAATGAAGAGGGTGTTTAGGAGCAATCATGTCTACTCCCATAAAATACAGTACCAAATGGCTACTGTGGTGGTCAATCCCATAATACCCCTTTTACAGAAGATAAACTAGTGAGGTTGAGAGATGAATATTTTGCTAAAGAATATTATTTTAAGGCATAGTTGAGGACTGGGTCACCAACAGAAAATGTAACTTGTTATGACCTCAGCCTCTCTCTCTTTCCTTTCCTGTCCCTTCCTTCCCCAGACAAATAAACATATGTAGATACAGACATGCCTACCTATGCACAGTTAAGTTACTTTTGAAATGTGACTTTGGAACTCTCATTACTGAAAGGGTAACTAAGAGTCAGGTTACATTACTGAAATACTGTGGAATATATGGTGGTATTACTGAAATGAATTTAAAGTCACCTAGCAGTCATGAAGTATCTGAATTACTGTGTGCATCACCTGTGGCAACTTTTAATCTAGTATTTTTTGAAGTGCTGCACCAAAAGGAGCCAACACTGGCTACTGCAGAGAGCAGGTGAGCAGGCAGCCAAGCCAGCTGAACACCTGATCAGTGCTTAGGTGTTTCTATTTACAAACATGGTCTTTGTCAATAAGAGAGTGAGAGGCAGCTGAGATCTTACTCCTGAAGCCCAAGTGGTGGGGGAAGAGAGGTAGGCAAGAGAATAAGAGAGCCACAACTAGTCAGGCTTGATCCTACAGTCTGTCTAACCTCTCAGCAGCAGGAATTCCCCAGTCAAAGACAGGTTTAAATTGAGCTGGCGGTAGGGAGGGCTGAAACTAAGCCCCCTGAAGAAGTAACGGCAGCAAACACTCTGTTTTTCTCTCTAATTGTCTTTCTCCACCCTTCTCCCCTTTCCTGTCCCTTTGCCCTTCCTCACTGCTGTTGTTGTGCTTTCCTGATGCCATAGCTCTGACAGATTGAGGTACCACTGGAACAGCTGACCAGCGTGCCTTGCAAACTGTGAAGCAACTCCTGCCCAGCATCTAGCAGCGTGCTGACTAGGCAGTCCGCTGCAGAGACCCAGATCTCTCTGGAGGGCTGAATGGCTGTGGCACCCAGGGACAGCAGGACAAAGCTCTGTTTTAGTTTAAAAAAAAAAAAATCTTGCTACCCGATATAGTGCTATACCAGACAGCAATATATATTTTTTTTAATTAAAAACAACACCATAGCTGCAGGAGGAAGTAACTGTGAGTCAGCCATTGGGAGGGCTCATTAAAAATTAACACCAATAGACACATTCACATAGGGGGAATCCATTGATTCCACATCTGCATTAAAATAAACAGACATCTGGTGGGAAGAGTAAAATACTTTGCTTCTGCTCAAAATGAAACAATTGCTTGTCAAAATCATCCGTGTTTCCACCTGTGTTGTGTAGTCACCCTTTTAAAAAGCAATATAAAATATGCTAAACCTGATTCAAGCGCTCTTTTTTTTCCTAGTATAATCAGGGTCTTGTTTTAGCTAACTATGTTATTTGTAACTTCTTACTTCGCATTTCTACCATTCCCCATCACTAGTGAGTATTGCACAAGGGGGCCACCTCACTCTGTCTAATGAAAGATCTGATTCTGTGGAAAGATCTTTGCCAAGCAGTACTAATGATGCAATTTTAACTCAAAAATTATTTAGACTGTAGGGAGTTAGGTATAGGCAGAAGCCTTTTCTGCTGGGAGCAATTGCTTTCTACCAACAGAAATGCCCTAGTCCTGGCAGAACTGTCTTCTGCCAGCTGATCTCAGAAATCTGCCAACAAGGTCACCTTCCAACAGAACTGTGCTACTGGCTAACATCTGCCAGCAGGAGAGCCAAAATGGAGAACAGATAAGGAGTGGGAGGAAACACCTGACCTATGTCAGATCTGAACCTCCTCCAGCTCTGGAACATGGCAACTATGCTAGCATCAAGGTAAGGGTAGTTCTAAGTAACTTTAGCATTCCTAGGCTGCGAGATCGCATTTATCACAGCTTTAGTCAGGCTATTGACAGCTCAGCTATCCCTTGGCTGTCTTGCCTAGTTAGGATTATACTCTTCATCTGAATCCATTACTGTGTTTTAAAAGAAAAGCAAATTATCTATCTATCTATCTATCTATCTATCTATCTATCTATCTATCTATCTATCTATCTATCTATCTATCTATCTATCTATCTATCTATCTATCTATCTATCTATCTATCTGAGTTTATATCTTTCTAGATTCATTTTTATTACTGTATATACTTTGATGGTAGGCAAGCTACCATGAAACATCCCCCCTCCCCGCCTTGAAAATAACAGTGAAAAGATATATTATGCTTCCTCCACCCTTGCTCTTGTGAGAAACAATATTAACATTCAGGTGGCATTGCTCACAGGGACATTTCAGCGAATTATTGTATGTGCCATTTACTAACCATTCACCTGAAGAATGTGGGTCTGATACAGGTCTTCATAGCCATAGGCATGACACGTGTACTTGCCCATATGAATAGTTGTTACCTTGGTGATGTAGAGAGAATCATCATCTCCAAAATCCTGTAAATAACAGACAAAAAGAGAAAGAAGAAAAATAAAATACCTATTTCATAAATTTGTTTAAAGTGCTGTAAAGGCTAAACGTACACTTTGCTTGTTGTGAGAGCTGTCTGATTTTCAGCAGGACTTGAATTTTGAATACTGTATTTTTATATATGTTAATTATAGGAAGCAGTTGATAAGAGGCCACTTGCAAATACATTCACGGAGAAAATGAAAAGTAGTGTAACTGAAACACTGGGACTTCTGATTTCAAGTAAAGATGTCCCCTCATAGAATTAATTGAGGATAACAATTTGAGCACATGACTAAAATTGTGACAGCAAAAATTATGAGGCAAATTGCTGTACGGATGTGTGGTTTTAATCCATAAACACTATTAATGAAAGCACTGTGGTCAGCCTATTTAATGAAGAACGAACATGTGCAAAAATACCTTCATCAATGATCTTTTTGTTATTATTCAGAAGACCTAGTTATGAATAAGTGATAAGATACAGGGTTTTTTTTTTCATTTTTAATTGGCAAGAGTGTATGTTCTCTCATTTGCAAACTTATCCAGACCCAAACTCCGCTTTTCTTCTTACTCATATTGCTTATCACATAATTGGAATGATAATTACACTAGAGAAGTCAAAACATTAGCTAGGTTCCAAAATGTTTTTCAGTCTATGCTGGATGGTGTTTTGGTTAACTAGTTATTCCAAATGATACCACATCAGTCTCTGTGGCCGGCATCTTCAGAGGACAGCACTCTGTGCTCTGGTGTAGTTGGTTTGGGAGTGGAGTATTTATGGTTCGTTGACCTTTTGCACACTGTATTTTTGAGAGCTGGGAGCCAAGTCTTGAGTTTCAAACTTTCCTCTTTTTTGTTGAAGTTCTGCTGCTGCTTGTGGATTTCAATGGCTTCCCTATGCAGTCTGATGTAATGATTGCTGGTGTTGTCCAGTATGTCGGTATTTTGAAATAGAATTTCATGTCCAGTTTGTTTTAGGGCATGTTCAGCTACTGCAGATTTTTCTGGTTGTTTTAGTCTGCAGTGTCTCTCATGTTCGTTGATTCTGGTGTGGATGCTTCGTTTTGTGGTTCCAGTATATACCTGGCCACAACTGCAAGGTATCCGGTATACTCTGCAGTGGTGAGGGGGTCCCTTCTGTCCTTTGCTGACCGGAAAATTTTTGTGTTTTTGTGGTGTGCTTGAATACTGTTTGTAGGTTGTGTTCTTTCAAAAGTTTCCCCATGTGGTCCGTGACCTCTTTGATGTATGGCAGAACTACTTTATTTGTGGGTGGCTGCTTTTCTTCTTCAGTTTGGTGTTGTTTTCTTGGTTTGAGGGCTCTTGTGATTTCATTGTTGGAGTAGCCATTTGCCTGTAGGGCCCAATTCAGATGGTTGAGTTCAGTGCTGAGAAACTGAGCTTCACAGTCCTGATTTGCATGGTCTACCAGTGTTTTGATTATGCCTCTTTTTTGCTATGGGTGGTGGTTGGAGTTTTTGTGTAGGTACCAGTCTGTGTGGGTGGGTTTTCTGTAGACCTTGTGTCCCAGTCGGAGGTCAGTTTTGCGTAGGACCATGACATCTGAGAACGGGAGTTGGCCCTCTATTTCTTTTTCCATGGTGAATTGTATATTTGGGTGGATGCTGTTGAGATGGTTGAGAAATTCTTCCAATTTTTCTTCACCGTGGCTCCAAATTGCAAAGGTGTCATCCACATATCGGAACCAGACTGTAGGTGTGAGGGGTGCCGAAGCCAGGGCAAGTTTTTCAAAATGCTCTATGTAGAAGTTTGCTATAACTGGGCTGAGGGGCCTCCCCATGGCCACTCCATCTGTCTGTTCATAGAATTCATTATCCCACTGGAAATAGCTGGTTGTTAGGCCAGTGGGAAATCCACAAGCAAAAGCAGAACTTCAACAAAAAATAGGCAAGTTTGAAACTCAACAAAACGTGGCTCCCAGCTCTCAAGAATACAGGGTGCAAAAGGTCAAGGAACTCTATCCAGCCACAAGGGCCGGGGATCACTACACACAAAAGACCAGCTAATGACACCCATCAACCACAGTGACAGATAATCTCTCCTTCTTATCACAACAATACACCCACCACAAGACACATTAATCACCCATCTACAGAAAAAGAAAAAAGACAAAAGCCCATCTCACAGCCATAAATACTCCACTCTCAAGCCAACTACACCAGAGCACAGAGTGCTGTCCTCTGAAGATGCCAGCCACAGAGACTGGCGAAATGTTAGGAAGAACAACCTTCAGAACACGGCCAAAGAGCCTGAAAAACCCACAACAACCATTAGATCCTGGCCGTGAAAGCCTTTGCGAATACATTGATACCACATCCTGATAAACCGACATACGCCCCATCCTTCCCTTGTTTTCGTCAGCACAGAGGGCTCAGTTGGGGATACTTTTATACAAAATCCAAAAGGAGGAATTTAGAAAGCATACTTGATTGGCTTCATGAATGATTTCTCTCCCTCAATTATCTCAAGTGCGACAGACACAAAATAAGATTCTTTATACAGGACATTTTAATGCCAGAGTAGGACATACTTCTAATTATAAATGAGCAACAAAATATCAGGCATAAATAATCACAAGTGTGAGTTGAAAAAATGTTTAACTTCTCTCTCCTCAGCAAGGAATTCAGATATTCCAGAAATGGTGACTACTCACAGAATTCTGTTGTAGGAAGACAGTGGCATAATTGTTATCTAGCTGATGACTGTCAGCGTCCTGAATCAGAACGTTGACTAAATATTTCCAGTTGCCTTGGGCAGGAGACAAGTGTCATCTCCTCCTTTCCCATCACCTCCTTATTGCCCCCCCCCAAAACCGCTCACCACTACCTGCTCTGTGTGGAGAGAAGCAATGGCCACACAAAGTTCACAGAGCTACATTCCATTGAACCAGTCAGGCTTCTTTCATCATAGCCACACTCTGTGGGTGAGATGCTCTGGAAAATAACCTCAGTCATTGACACTTAGCAAGTCTGCATATTAAAACAAGGCTAATAAGGAGCATGCATTTTGTTTTAGAGTAGAATTGTATTCTCAGAGCTTCCAGCATCATCACTATAAAGAGATCCTTACAATTCCATGTTCAGAAGGGTGACAGGGCTGTCAAAAGTATGGTGCACTGATTCTCATTGGCCTCAAAAGCAGTGACATCATCCCATGCTTGTAGCTCAAACCCCACTCAAAATTCTGTGCATGGAATCTGCATAAGCAAACAGCACTATGGCTCTGTGCTCAAACTCACAGTTCTAGATTCTAAAAAAGACAATGTTGCATGTTGACTTATTCTTCCCCTCATTATGAAAAACATATCATACTTATTTAATGTATAAAATCCTCTTTGGTTGTGGTAGTCCATGCAATGAACCAAACACTGAAAGAGCATTATGGCAATCCTTTGAGTGACATTCATCTCTTCAAGGAAGAGCAATGGCAAACAGCCTTCGACTGAAATACTAATATTATCAGGCTTTTTTTGTGCTTGAGATATTGTAGCTGAGATTGAATTCAGATCAATAAAAACTAGATGGCTACTTTTACAGGATGATTTATAAAAGAGTTGAAGAAAAACAAAGCAATAAAAATCCTCTGTCATTCATGTGTTGCTTCCTAATAGACATCTCTGATTAATGTTATGAACACTTGGTTGGTGCTCTAAAATTGTCTCTTTTTTTAAATGGATGATCTGTTTCACTCTGATGTATAGTATGCAAAGACATTTTTGAAAGATGAAATGTTCTTTTTTATTATTTTCTATCCATGTACGAAAGAGCATTTCCCCCCTAAGCACCACCATTTATGATGTTTAAGTTCTATTCTTTTAATACTTTGGAATTAATACAGTAGGTTATATATTTACCGTACTTATACCAAAGTGTTCTTACAGGACACATATTCCTTATTAGAGATGAGCGTTTTACATAAGTCTTATCTGGAGTAGGCCTCCCGGACATTATAATTGCATTGTGGGGAGCAGGGATAAATCTGTTGACCCCACCTTTCCATTGTATCCGTGTTGCCTATCCTCAGCAGCAGTGCTCCACACTTGGGAGGGCAGAGAAGAGTCATGGGGAATACAGCCTCTGTTCCCCATGCTACTGGCACAACAATGTGATAGTCTAACAACAACAACAACAACAACAACAACAATAATAAAAATGTGCTATCAATTCTGACTAATGGCGACCTTTCCCAGGGTTTTCTAGTTACAAAATATTAAAAAGTGGCTTAACATGCCCTTTTTCTGTGGACACTATTAGACAGTGAGGTTTGTCCAATGCAACACAAAATGGTTCTTTTCTTGGGACGCACCCTGAGGAATCCCAACCCTCTGGCTCCTCGGGAAGGGACCTAACTCGTTGAGCTATCCTGCCAGCTAACATGCAAGTTTCTACATTGCAAGGGACTCTCCTCTTTAGGGACAAGGATAAGGAATAGCAATTTTCCCTTTCCTTCTGTGAGGGGTATTATTGACTGAATGGTTTTGTGGGAATTGCACCAAAGTCTGACAGCTGCTCCTTTGTTTCATAAACTTCTAAAACTCTAAAACCTGGCATCTTTTTAAATGATTGGCTAATCCTCTGCTTGGTGTGGGTGCTTTATTTGTTTCTTAAAGGGAAATGACACTAACTTTGTGTAGATTATCTCAGAGGAATTTTGCATACATTACAAAAAAGACTGAACAGGAGGGGAAAAAAACCCCACTCCTCATCTCATTCTTGTGCTGAAGATGAGAATTCTTGTGTGGGGCTTGAAAATTCATCATCTTGTCATGCCAGTGACCAACAGAGCTGAGACTGGTGAAAATGATGAAGTTAATGAGTATTCTTAACATCCCTCACCTACATTATAAATGTAGAGAATATATGCTGAATTCCTTGTGCTTGTTAATCCTTGTGCTATTTTGACCCCACAAGCCACTTCAGCAAGAAATTTGGCAGCTGCTTGAAACTTCTTGCCTTCATCTGAG